CCCCAAAACCCCAAAACCCCAAAACCCCAAAACCCCAAAACCCCAAAACCCCTTCTGAATAATGGCGAATTGAAAGCCCAATTTTAAAAATTCGCCATCAGTGCCCTATATAAGCCAATGCTCACTTAGAACTTTGTCCTTTTAGCAGGGGTAAAATCGCAGCAAATGACGTTCAAACGGATGCGCGATGATTGCTATTTGAAAACTATTCTAGTTAGTGGTAACGGCATTGCCGGGACCCAATTTTTGGCAGGGCCCTCAGGGCTGTTCAACTTCAAAACGAAAAATTAGCTTAGATATTAGTTTAGATATAGATTTAGCTTAGATAAAACCAACCACCTGCCTAACGATTTAGATGACTCCTTTAAGAAGTGCTATCATAGAAATAATCACAAGGACAAATATGGAATGAAAGATTTGCCATAAAAAGAAAGATCTGTACATCACTAGAGAAAGCATTTCTAGATAATGAGCAATAACTATTAAGTTACATAAATGATAGACTATTTGCACTGATGAAACCAGATTTAGATAAGATCTCAGGAATACATTTGTCCGATATATCTTGTGCCTATAGCCTTCACTCTGAGATAAGAAGAGTTTATCAAATTTTAGAACGATTACAAGATCTAGCAAGTACTCAGAGTTTAAGTTTGACATTTACTTTTAATTTAGGACACAGACTTAAAAAAGGAAGATGAAGTATGATCCTTCATACCGTTTTGGCCGATGCTCCTTAAGGATATAAAATTCGAAGTTAATTTGGTCAGGCTATTTTTAGTCAAATTTGTTGTGAAAAAGTATTTTAAAGAGCCTTCTCACAAATTTAAGATTCCTTTAAAGAAAATTCCTAATAACAATCCTTATTTGATGTAAAATAAGGATCTTATTTTCTTTAGTATACTACCAATGATTTTGAGTTTAACAAAGAGAGTAAGTATAACTAGCTTTACTTATGTTCTATGCAAGAATTAAGCTATATCTCTCCAGTAATTGATTCAAAGCATACTTCTGAAAGCAAAGCTACAGAATTCTCCCAAATTATCCTAAAAATCCTAATTAAATTCTAAATTTCAAAGATCTCTTCGAGGTATCAGCATTTCATCATCATGAACAATCTCCAAACTGTATTAGCACCCAGTGATAGCTCATAAATTCCCTCTAAGCTCAATGAAGGATTAATGCTTCATCATCTGAATAAGTTTAATTGTATACAATTTTTCAATATTTTAGACCATAAAGGGGTTTTGGGGTTTTGGGGTTTTGGGG